TTCCTCCTTTCTTGGTACTCCAGTTAGCTTTCTGTACACCACTTTCATACTACCTGTATTCTGTGTTGTATTTGTTTACAACCTGTCCCTCCAATTGGCCTTTGAGTCCTTGAAAAGTCATCCCTGTATTCTCAATACTAGCAGTGTGTTAAATGGAGAAGGAATATACTTGCCAAATGTACTTGATATTTTTGGGTGCCTCCTATACACAAAGAAGACACTGCACTAGGTACTGTGATGAATTTTGCAGGTTCTCTTTTCTCTTAGAAGGCAATGTCCTAGTCTATTTCATAGATTCTGTAACCTATCTGTCCCCTAACATCTGATCTCAGCCTTCTTTCCCTCTACATATACACTGAGTCACCCCATTCATTTCCTTAGCTTTAATTGCTGACAACTCCCATGTCTGCTCTCCCAGTGAAGAACTCTTTCGCAAACTCCAGATGCTCCCAGGCATCTCAAACTCAGCACATATGAAACTGAACTATTTTACCTTTCTTTTATCCTTCTGGCATTAAAGGATAACTGTAGGAAAGTTCCTAAGACAATTAAAAATAAAGCAATTAGAAATTGTGTCAGGGCAATAACATTACATTTTCCCTGACATCCCTAGGTACAACTTTTGAATTTTCATTGCCTTGAAGTGAACAGCAGTAAAGCTTTAATGCTGTACTTCCCATGCTGGGCTACACCGTGCTGTGCCAAGGTATCTGTAAAGCTACAGTATAAATAAGGCTTATCTTCCTGGAGCATCAATTTTGACAGAAGTGTGTGTGTATAATTTAACCATTTAAGTTTTAAGAACTGAAAACACTTTTTATATTGTGGAACATAATGCAAAATGCCAGAAAAATTTAAACTCCTTTCCTCAAAACATATGCACACAGACCCATTTCTAGTATTAAAGAACCCTAAGTGTAACTACCAAATTCATGTCCCAGAGTCAGGGACTTGAATTATAATATGCCCATGTATTTAAGGGCACGAAGAGGAAAGCCTCCAGGGTACAGACTTTATCCAGTAGTGAACAATAGGAAATCAGCACTGCAGGAAGTTCTTTTTCAGATGAAGTAAGAGGAAACTGGGGAAGGGAGGAGTTAGTAAGTTTTAAATACCAAGCTAGGGTGAGAACTTTGTTCAATGCTTTGATTCAATCAATAGATATTTTTAGATGCCTATTTTGTCCCCTGTTCTCTACTGGGTGGCAAGAGAGTGAATTAGGTATGTCCCTAACCCCAAAGAGTTCACTACCTAGTGTGGGTGCCAAACAATGTAATTGTGCGTTTGTGGCAATGCAGAATGTACAGGGTGAAATTGGACCACTGGAGAAGTGCCTAACTTTGCTTGGGGAATTCAGTGACTACTTACGAAAGACACATTTCAGCTTTTGTTGCCTGTAGGTTGGTGAGAAAGATTTCAGAAAACAGCAATATGAAGTGTGTGGGTAATAAATACATGCTTACATTCTTGACAAACACTACAAGCACTTAAGTCCTCGGAGGGAAAGAAGCCCATTTCTTTAGCTGTGGTATACTCAGTAGTGTAGTTTAGCAGTGTCCCTGCACACACCATGTTTGTTTTGTAAAGCTGAGCCCAAAAGCTGAATATGTCATGGACAGCATGTAGCTTACTCTTCATCATTTAATAAACATATTTTGAATCAGGTCCTTTGGTAGGAATAGAGTTATCCAGAAGAATGAGTCCCAGCTTCTGGCTTTCAGGAACTCAGTTGAGTGAAGGAAATCAGTCAAGCAGATAGGCATTTGTGATACAGTATGAAAGCTGTTAGGCATATGCTCCGAGGACTAGAACTGTAAAGAGGAAGGGCCCTTGTCACATTTGGAAGGTGAAGTGGAAGTTGGAGAAGGACTCCAAAAAGTGACTTCTGAGCAGAGGTTTGAACAAGTAGGAGGTGAAACAGACCAAGCAGTATAGTAGGGTCAACATCATGCACAAAGGTATGTGTTCAGAAAATAACAAGTAGTTTCCTATAGAGTGGAAAAGATAATGGTAAAAGATGAAGTTGAGAGGTAGCCAAGACTGGGCCATAGGCCTTTGTGTCACGATACAAATCTGGATTTTTACCCACACAGGCAATGATGAGTCACTATAATTGATGCTGGTTGAGATCAGTGTTTTTCAGAAAAGGCTGTAATCCATTAGTGAGCTGTAAAATCAATTTAGTGAACTGGGACCAGTATTTTTAAAAAGTGCACTAGAAAAAAATAGAAATATTAACGTGCACATCTGTAAAGGGAGATATTTTATGTTGCTTTTGTTTCAATTGTATATGTATGTGCCTAGTGTGTTCCTGAGATAATGCTTTTTGATCTCTGGATCATAGTAAAAAAATGTAGAAAACACAGTTTCACAGAAATTAGTTTATGCCTGTCCATCACTGAACCATTGATAGCAATGGGATGGAAATAGTAGGACTGCTTTAGAGTAATCTGGGATGGATGTTTGGGAACCAACCCACTGTAGGGAACTGTAATGCAATGAGGTAAATTTAGTGGATTACAGAAACACTGTAGTGCATCTAGGTTCACAAGAGAATGAACTTAGGTGTGTGGATGATCAGAGGAACCACCCAGGAGATGCCAGTTTGTGTACTGTTAGGTAGGTATAAAAGGAGAGGATGGTTTTCTGGGTGGTAGAGACTGTCTCAACCAAAGGTGGTAAGGGGAGCTGTGCATAGGGAAACAATCAAAATAAGGACTTCCATGCTTTTGGAGCATAAAACTAGAGGGAAGGAAGTAGCTGGAATAGCGGGTGGATGCCTAGTACCTGAGGGGTGTCATAATAAGGAATATGGGCTTTTTTCCTACAGGAAAGGAGGAGCCATTGAATATTATCAAGGATAGAATTAAGATAACAGATTTCTACCACTTTGGCTGCAGTGTGTATGAAAGGCAAGTTAGGAGGCTGTTGCAGTAATCCAGATGTCTTAGATTCCAGAGTAGGGAGAGAGGTGACTAGATTTCAGAAACATTATGAAAATCAACACATGACTGGTTAATATGACTATAGCTGAGTGCAAGAAAACAGTCCCTGGCTTTTTGTTTCCTCTGAATGTTGGGTTTATACTGTTATTGACCTGTTGATGCTTGAGTTCATTATTTGAAGGCAATGGGGGCATAACCCAACCTTGTAATAAAAAACTGGAGACCAAGAACCTCTGAAAGCAGAGAATTCCAGTGCATCTGGACCCTTCCCTTGGGGGTCTGAAGCTTGTTAAAGAGGTGCTTAGATGGACTTGAGGGCGTATTCCAACTGGGGTAAAAAGTTATCATTTACAGGCCAGATTACTAAAGTTGATAGTGTTATTTCCCTTGTGGTGTCCCTGAGCCTTTAGTAAATATTCTGATTCATGTACTGTTATTTGGGCCAAGATATTAAAGGGAATGAATGAAGTGTCCTGTGAGGCCACTGTGGCATTGGTAATGGGCCATTAAACTGTGAGTTCCTTGAGGGAGAGGCTGTTTCTTCTCATCTCTTATTCCTAGTATCTAGCCAGAACCGGATACACGGCAAACACTTGATAAAGACTGTATCCCTAGTGCCTAAATAGATGATGGGTACTAGTAGATGCTTAATAAGCACTTAGGGAACTGCTGAAAGCTCCAAAGGGGGATATATTTCTGGGACTAAGAGGAAAAGCTGAATCAGCCACTATCTATCTGTTACCAATAATACTTAAAGACGTATTTTCAATATTAAGAAAAGTGTTTTTTCTAGGAGTCAGGAATGACTCCAACTTATCTAGCTGAGGTGTAAATGATGCCAAGAAGACAGGAAGGGGATGAATATTTGGGCAGAAGCATTCCGAGTTGAAGGTTTATTTAAGAAATGCTTTAAGTGTCTAGTGTGTCACTCAAAATATGTCAGAAAGCTTTCTGGTAATAATGTGATAGGCAAACTGAAGCAGAAGGAGACATGGATAACCCTGTTGGGAGTAGATGAGTATGATTAGAGAAGCTGCAGTGAAATAGCACAGGAATAGCTGTCACTGAAACTACTACCTACCTGCTAGACCAGGGACCTCTTTACCTTTACCCTTATTATCTCAGACAATGGGTGGGTTTGGTGGGCCCATAACACTCTGAAGGTCCAGCCTAAAAGAAAATATCTTCTTTGCACCATATTTGAGATATGGGTACTGTCAGACCCTGCCATGAAGTGTTTAGGTGGGGATGACAGCACTGTTTTTCCATTACTACCACCCTAGTCAAGCCTCTGAGCCTTAAGTGATGGGCAGCCTGCCTTCACATAATTAGTGGATATAAAAGAGCTTCCTACTTCTCATATGCCTTGACCATTCTGAAGCCGGATTTCCCTTTTCTGAGTTCCCAGATTTGATAACAATAAAAAATTTCCAGGAAATTCCCAGCAGGTTTAACTTCCTAATCCTCCTCCCACTTCAACCCTGTCCTTCACTTCACTCTCCCCTCCCAACCCCCTTCCACCCCAAGAGGAAGGAGCTTATCCTGGAGTCCAATATCCTCTGCTTAATGCTTGTAATCCCTTGGCCAGGGCAGGAATACATCTGAGTTCTCAGGCCCTTTTCTTTGGGGCCCATCCAGGGCTTGAGGGGAGCACATGAGGGTAATATATTATCCTGCCTAGAAAGAGAGGAATGGTTGTAGTGTTCTTTGAAGGTTCTTAGGGTACCAGATTCTTATGGAAGGTTCACTTCTAGATATCCACTCTCTGACCCTTGTAAGGAAGTAATTTTTCTCTAATAAGTCCCAGGGACTCAGTCTCTATGTTAGATGTCATAACTCAATCACATTTGGGGGCCAGTTTTGAATTGTAGGGTACATGCCCCATATACATCAACATTAAGAAAAATAAAATTTTGCTAACCCAATATAACCTGGATTTAATAGCCAGAAACATATGCTGTGAATTTACTATCCCATGAAGACAGAGCATTTAGATAGTTCTCATTCTCAGAAATTCCAAGGGGAGGATTAAAAACAAAACATAACCGGCTTATGTATAGTCATACAAAGAATTTTATCTATTGTGCAAAGAGAGGGTTATTTGGCCCCCAAGCAGGTTCTGGGCTCTATTAAGACTGTCCATTTACAACTCTAGCTCCAGTTCTTAGAGATGAAGTGATCCAAAGGTCTATGATCATGAGCACTGATGAGGCTACACATCCTTTGGCTCCAGTTAAATCCCTGGTGTTTGACGTGAGAGGGAGCTGTGGATGCTTGCTTTCTGGTCCTGTCGCAGTCCCAGAAGTAGCTGGTTTAGGAGTGTAAGGTTGCTGTCTCTGCGAGGCAGGGGCAGGGGTGGGAGGCAGTTCCCTTTATACTCGATCACTGCCATCTTAGCCCGATCCTGCTTATTCCGATTTGGGATCTGCAGCATTCTTGTGTAGCCCCCATTCTGACCTTGGTACCGAGGGGCCAGTACTTGAAACAGCTTTGGGATCAAGTCTTTCTCCTAAAGGGGGAGAGTTATCCAAAAGAGAGCAGTCAGGCACCACTGCAGAGATGCGTCTCCTAACACACCCTCAGACCTCCTCCCCGCCTCCCCCGTGTGCTAGAGTCCAAGTTACACAGAGAGGTGTTACAGGCAGATGTGCAGATTCGGATTCTCATCGAATTCAACCTACTTAAGGCAGGCACACGTTTCCAATGTAGTTCACAACATTTGTCCATAAGTGAGTGCCTTAACTTAATTCTGCCCAGTTCCCTTTTCTCCAACAACCCCCTCCCTCTCAGGGAACAATGGATGAGATCCGGGTGGCAGACAGGACGCACTTACCGTGAGCCAGAAGTCAGCCATGCGCATGGCTCGCTGGTTGGTGTCTCCCAGCTTCCCATAGTCGATGAGCTGTGAGAACACAACATCACAGATCCAAACCGAACAAGAAACAGGCCCCAACCTTACTCCTTTAATGCTGCACTGCAGGCTGTTCATGCCACTAGCCCCACTTCTCTCTAATCCGGCCACCCCTAAGCCCGCAGCCCTAAGCGGCCTTCCATTGGAGAGGCCGGAGGAATGGGCTCAGCTCAGAATACTGCAGGGTGCAGACTTGGGGGGCAAGCTTACCCGGGCGGCCCCACTCCTTTCCCAACTCCAGCCGGACTCCGCCCCCTCAGGCTAGACCCGCGGGGCGGACCAAGGCGTCCCACCCCTGACCTTCTCGGCGTAGCCCCTCATCTCGTCCACGCGCGCCCATGACGCCTCGATGCGCTCGTGTCGCACTAGTCCCGTAAGCAAGTTCCGCAGCAGGTGGATGCGGGACTCGGGGCCAAGGCCCAGGCGGCGGAATACGCGGCCGTGGGAGATGGCGGCAACGACCGACAGCCGCATGTTCCCGGCTCCTCCCGAACCCGGGAGGCCGGAACTGGAAAGTCAAGAGGAAACTGCACGCAGCGGCGATTTGAGAAGACGCATGCGCAGTAGCTAAGTGCGTGGGGGACGTGTTTGCGCATGGGCATCAGAGCCTGCCTCGTTGGCAACCAGGGGGAGGCGAGAAGGAGTGTTGACTTCTTCTAGAGGAGGTGCGCTGGGCGGGCTTCAGGCACCACGTGAGCTCCCTTTGGTGGGGAAACCAGGCGCCCCCTAGTGAGGAAAGAGCGGGCCTTAGGGTTCTCTTGTGCTGCAGCAGGCTTCTCGTGGCCTGTAGGGCGATGGGCGGCTCCCCCGCGGAGCCTGCTGGGAAAGTGAGTATCTGAGGCGGAAGGCGATTAGAGGGGTTGCGCTCCTGTGCTGGCGACCCCACCCCGCCCTGAAAGGTGGGGAACAGGGCTGTCTGACACCCCGAGGACCTCATTTTGCCAAAACTATTTTCAGTAGTAATGATGAAATTAAAGGAATAGTAATGATGTTCAGTTGAGCTGCAGCTAGTGAAATTTTTCCTTTGTTAAGGTAAGTACATATAGTGTGTAGGCACTGAGACAGGACAGAGCAAGGAAGATGGGCCAGGTACAGAAACTCACCAGAGCAGAAAGCCCCTGATGCCTAGCAAGGGGCAAAACAAGAAACTTGCCCCCAGCGTAACCTATCCTCCGCTAGCATATCAGTGGCCCTGACCTTTTCCTCCCTAAAGATAACGTCTAGGCCAGTTCTATTCCAGCTCCAGGCCCAGAAAAGCAGCAAAACCAGACAAGTGACATTGTGGTTGCCTCAATACCAGCTGCACTGACTAATGACCCCCAGTCTTGGAAAGCACACGTGGAAAGCTGATCAATATTCTACTGAGACCCTTCCTGAGACCTCCGGTAAGATTCCCACCCACAAGAGAGAGACATTTGCTGAAGATGAAGGACCCCGTGTGCGGGCTCCCACAGGGGAGTATGCCAGCACCATTCCCTTCCCCCTTCTATCCTCTAAGTCTTCCCAGGAGACTTGCAGCCAGGGGAGCAATGGGCAGCAGCAGCTTGTCTTGGACTAACCCCAGAGCCTGTCTCTAAGGCCCCTTTTCTCTGACCTCTCGGTGAGCCAAAGCTGCCCAGCCTAGGCTCTTTTGTTGCCTCTTCTATGCCCTTCCTAGTTTCACTGTCCTGAGTGGGTTTTGCTGCGGCCAATAAATTCTTTCTTACTTTGCTACACTTTGTCTCTTGATTGAAACCTTTTCTTCAAGAAGACAAGAACCAAGGTCTCATTATCTGGCCGCTAATATACTCATCCTAGTTAAAGAAAAAAAATACAGAACTCAAAGGAAAAGTGATGGATTAATACTTTTAAATTACATCAGTGTATTAAAAAAAAAATGTTAAGATTTTTTTTTCTTTATCGATTTTAGAGAGAGAGGAAGGGAGAGGGAGAGATAGAAACATCGATGAGAGAGAACATCAATTGGCTGTCTCCTGCATGCCTCCCACTGGGGATCGGGCCTATAACCTGAGCATGTGCCCTGACCGGGAATGAACCAGCAACCTCTTGGTACATGGGTTGACGCTCATCCACTGAGCCACACTGGCCAGATAAAATGTTTTTATCGTTTTTTTTTTTTTTTTTTTTAGAGAGAAAGAGATAGAAAACATGAATATGAGAAAAAAGCATTGATTGGCTGCCTCCTGCACACTCCCTACTGAGATTGAGCCCACAACTCCAGCATGTACCCTGACCAGGAATCGAACTAGGACCTCTCAGTCCTTGAGATGATATTTAGTCCACTGAGCCACACTGGCTGAGCAACACCAGTGTATTTTTTTAAAAGGGAGAAAACAGCCCGGCCTGTGTGGCTCAGTGGTTAAGTATAGACCCATGTACCAAGAGGTCACCAATTCAGTTACTGGTCAGGGCACATGCCCAGGTTGTGGGCCCAATCCCCAGTAGGGAACATGCAGGAGGTAGCCAATTGATGTTTTCTCTCGTCAATGTTTCTTTTCCTCTCCCTTCCTTTCTCTCTCTAAAATCAATAAAGAAAAAATAAATAAAAGGGAGAAAACATACTATGCATTTATGTTAAAATAACATACAATAAATAACATTATAGTTTCTGTTTTGGAGCCTTAATGTCTGTAAATTTGAAATTAATGTCAAAATTGCTTTTTGTCATTCTTGACAAAGGATATGTTAAGTCCTAACCCCACCAACCTTCTCCACCTCCCTACATTACCTCAGAATATGGCCTCATTCAGAAGTAGGGTCATTGCAGATGCAATTAGTTAAGAAGGGGTCATACTAGATTAGGGTGGACATCTAATCCATATGACTGGTATCCTTATAAAAAGAACTGAGGTGGAGAGACAGAGAAGGACACACTAAATGAAGACAACCTTGTGAAGACAGACATATACAGGGAGAACCTATGTAACCAAGAAGGCAGAGATGTGAGTTGGGCAGTTGCAAGCAAAGGATCCTCAAAGATTTCTGGCAAACACTGGAACCTAAGAGAATGGCATGGAACAGATTTTTCACTAGATCCTTCAAAGAGTGTATGACTCAGCCCACACAATGGAGCTATGAGACAATACATTTCATTTGTTTTATGCTGCCCAGTTGTGGCACTTTGTTACAGAAGCACTAGGAAAGCAATGCACTCATCTTCACATATTCATGTTCAATAGACAGTATACTTAAAATTTGTCACTCTGTCTTCACTCATAGGTGGCCAGAGAACACTTCTTGTTCATTTTAATTTGGAAAACTTCCTTCTGTTTGAAGCAACAGACAACAAATAATTAAGAAAAGTCTTACACATGGATATTTTGATTGAAATTTATACAAATCACACTTCATAATAAATTCCAGAAACTACAATACTGTGTCTTGTTTATTTGGGATCAAATCTTGCAGCTATCAATGATCTCCACAATTGAAAATTCACTATAAATATCTATTGGGGAACATTTCTGAAGATCTTTTGCAAAAGTTGGAGAAAAGTAACATTGCATTATTTGATCCATTGCTTTAGAAGGAATGTCCACTTGGTGAAAATGTGCAGGATTACAGATTGTCCTCCTTCCTTTCTTTATTCATTTTTGGCCATATAAGACCATCATCTCTTGTCTCTTCTGGCCGTCTTCAAAACTGGATTCTTTTTCCTATGTCAATTTCTTCACATTTTGCATAGTTAATGAATTTCTCCAGAATTTTTTTTATGTGTGTGTTAAAGGAACAATTTTTAACCTTGTTGTTTTACTGCATGTTGTTCAAGGCTTATTTTGGCTGATTGCCAATGTTTTTTGTGTCTGATTGACCTCATCTGAAATTTTACCTAACTAAGAAAAGATAACTCAGAAGAAAAGAAAAGTTTCATACAACTAAGATTATTTATTTTAAATTCACTACTATAATAGCAGGGCTATGTTTTCCCACAAGGGCTGGTGTCAAAATATACCTGAAGTGAGTTTGAAAGATCACAAATTCTTATGAATTTACTATGAAAGTAATGTATGTGACTGAATTTAACTGTGTAACTGATAATCCGGCAAATTAACTTACATGTAGAATGAAATATATTTTAGTGGTTTAGTGAAAATTTGAAGCTTACGTATGTGGCTTACTCAACACTAACCACAGTAATTGTTTAGAACTTAGACCAACAAAAGATTTTTGTGTGAGAGTTATTGTATCACTAACATTGTTAGCATTGTTGTGCAAGGTGATATGAATCAGATTGACTTTTAATTAGTTTTATTACTGCTTTTAAATTCTTTACAGATGATTCATCTCCATATGTTTGATCAGGGCAGACTGCCTCTACCGCCTGACCCTTGATACTCAGTAGCTCTCAGTGTCTAGCTGAGCCTCCAGGGAAAGCATTCAGATGGATCTGGGTGAGTCAAGACTTGGAGTAACCCTGACAAGAGTCTAGTTTGAGCCTCTGAGGAGTTGTTGATAGTGACTATATAGTTCTGAGTTCTGGAAGAGGTGAGGAAAGTGGTCTCAAGCACTGTTCTGGTAGGCATCTGAAGAAGGAAGATCCCAGCCTGTAGAAAATTGTTGTACATACAATTTCCTAGCTTCTGCTGGGAGAAAGGACTTGGATCTGGCTACACTACTGTAGAGAACTCCTGTGTGATGTTGTGATATAACAAAAATGTGTATTTGTTCTTAAATCCTGGTTCCTGGCACAGAGCTCCTAAAACCCTTGGAATTTCCTCAGTGATAGGGAATAAAGGAACACTTTTTTTGTTATTCATAAAAAGTCTATTTCACCTGTACCTGAGATTATGCTAATGAGGTGACTCTTGGAGGATGGGGACTGGTTACCAGAGAAACTAGCCAAGTAATTAGAGGGTTGGAGCTGTCAGTCCTCTCCTACCCCCACTTCCATGGGAGAGGTTGGAGATTGACATGATCACCAGTGACCAATGATTTAATCAATATGTTTCCATAAAAACACTAAACAGCAGGTTTTGGAGAGTTTCTGAGTTGATGAATACATTGAGGTACTAGAAGGTTTAGCATGCTCTGAGAGGGCATGAAAACTCTGAGGCCCTTCCTACATACCTTGCCCTATGCATCTCTTCCATTTGGCGGTTCTTGAGTTGTATCCTTTATATAAACCAGGACTAGTAAGTAAATCATTTTTCTGCTGTTTTAGAAAATTATCACACTTGAAGAGAGGATAATGGGAACCCCAAATATATAGGTGGTTGATTAGAAGTGACAACTTGGTACTTGCAATTGGTTTCTGAAGTAGGGAATTAAGCCCCTGCCCTATAGGGTAGGGCTAACTCCAGGTAGTTAGAACTGAATTGTAGGGCACCCAGTTGGTGTCACAGAGAAATGGTGAATTGCTTGGTGTGGAAAACCCACACGTTTGGTGCCAGAAGTGTTATAAGTAGAGATATAAACTTTTCTCTTTACCCTGAATGACTGCATCTTGTTCTGCTGAAGCCTCCATGAAGCAATGTCCAGGGAGCCAGTACAGGGAGCTGAGCAAATGTTCAGTTAGGGATTTAGTGGTGATGGTGGGAAGCAAT